TCTTGCTACTAACATACTTGTAGAAACCCTGCTTGTTACCTGTCACATCCCTTGCTAGCTGCAACTCCAATTGTGCTTTGGCCTTCCTGATTTCATCCCTGAATACCCGAGCAAGGTTCGTTTGTTCCTGCATTCTCAGTAAGGCTTCTTGAAAGTAGCTGTCCTGGACTCTTCTCTCCCTCAGACTGGTTTCCCAGGGAATCCTGCCCATGAGTTCCCTGAGTGAGTTGAAGTCTACTTTTCTGAAGTCCAGGCTTCTACTCTGCTGCTCTCCTTCCTTCCTTTCCTCAGGATCCTGAACTCAGTCATCTCATGGTTGCTGCTGCCCAAGTTGCCATCCACTACTACATTCCCCATCAATTCTTCCCTGTTTGTGAGCAGCAGGTCAAGAAAAGCATGGCCCCTAGTTGGCCGCTTCAGCACTTGCACCAGGAAGTTGTCCCCAACGCTCTCCAAAAACTTCCTGGATTGCCTGTGCACTGCTGTATTGCCCTCCCAATAGATGCCAGGGTGATTGAAGTTCTCCTTGAGAACCTGGGCCTGTGATTGGGAGACTTCTGCTAGCTGTTTAAAGAAGGCCTCATCCACCACTTTCTCCTGGTCTGGTGGTCTGTAACAGACCCCACCATGACATCTTTGTTGCTTTCCTGTCTGACCCTAACCCAGAGTCTCTCAACAGGCCTATCTCCAGTTTCATACTAGAGCTCTGAGCAATCATATGGCTCTTTTACATAAAGTGCAACTCCTCCTCTTCTCCCCTGCCTGTCCTTCCTGAACAGTTTCCTTAGTGTCTTGACAGTGCCTCCAGTGCTTCACTGTCAGTCATTTCTACACCTTAGTTTAGTACCACATCTGTTTTAAGCTTTTCAGCTACAGCTCAAACCAGTCTGCAAGGTTGTGAAATAGAAGAAAGGGGTTAACCAGGAATGGCTGACAGACAGCAACTTTGCAGAAGAAAGGATCATTTGAATACAGGAACATCAAGACTATTAGACAGGATCATTAACACCTGTGGAGTGGAGAGAAATTAGCAGGAATCAGGGAGCTGATACTGACCCAGGAAGTCAAATGAGTCCCTCAGCACTGCCTGAATAGAAATGCTGCTGCCTCTCCCAGACAGTTGCCTTTAATGTCTGGTTGGAAGAGGAAAATGCACCAGGACACCCTGCTCTGGGTCTGCCCCTAGGCAAATCAGTGTTAATCTGATTACACAGCTGTGTCCTCCAAAGCAAGACCTAATTAACATGTTTTACTGTGATTAGAGGCCTTACCAATTTAATCTTTGTGTGTTTGACAAACTTTCTCTTAATTATTTCTCACCTCTTAGAGCTATCCTACATAATTTAGAAATAACATATACCTCCATTACATGTAAGCTACTAGAAAATATTTGGCCTATCCAGAGAAACTTGAAAGAACTGCAAAAAAGAATGCTATATATGATATTGGCTTCATGTTTATTGGAATATCAAATGTGTTCAGTGTTATTCAGGGCATAGGGATAGTGTGGTCCATGTCTTTAAGTATTTAAAATTCTGGAATGTCAGTTCCTCTGTAACGCAGGTTGAATTCCATATAGATTAAGTATATGTTTAGGGCTAAGTACCCTCTCTATCCACAATGGGTCTTCCATTACTGTGCTGGATATTGAATAAAGATTAAGGCAGAAGTATACATTTTTGAGGTTGGTGGTGGTTTGGTCAGACTCTACTGTTGTTCTGTGACAACTCCTATGGAAAATATGCTTGCCTTCAGAAACACAGTTCTTGTGCCAGTTGTGTTTTTTCTTTCCTCATTCATTCTTTTTTGTGATTTGCCTTCTCTTCTCTTTTACAGATTTTTATCCATTATTAGCACTATCCTTTTTACTCCCATTGCATAAAAATCCTTGTCCTAATTCCATCTGTTAAAATGATCTGCAGTTGCATTCATAATGCATGTAAAATATCCAACATCAAGTTTTAGATTATTCAGTAAATTGAATGATGAATGGGGGAGTTGATGCTGCTTACAACCGCTGTTTCTGTGCCTGTAGCTGTGAGAAGACTTTACCACAACAATTTGTAATTAGAAGGTGATGTCAGCTACTCTGAGCTAGAAACTTTGTAGATTCTTCAGTCCAATGGAGCTGGTGCCATATTAGCATGGCTTCAATGTTAGTGGTATTTGCCTGAGCCAGAAGACTTGCATTCATTCTTCTGTGCTTCCACTTGATATAGAGGTTTTTCCAAAGTCACTGCTGTTGGTAACGTGTGAAAGCTTTCAGGTGTTTCTGATACATTGTCCAAGTTTTACACCCCCAAATTAGAGTAGGGATGAGAACAGCCTGGTAGATGACAAGTTTGGTTTGGGTCCTTTGATGATCATCAAAGACAATTTCTGATATGTTCAAAGGCAGCACTGGCAGATTTTATCTAGTGTTTAACATCAAGTATGTTTACTTTGTGGACAAGGTGGCAAGTAGGGAAACTGCTCAACATTCTCTTCTAATTGCAGTATGGGGAGGAGCATCTGTTTGAGTTGGGGTTAGTTGGTGAATTATCTTGGTTATCATGAAATGCCTAGCCAGTGTCAACTGTATACAGTCCACAGAAGCAATGAACAGTGACCTGGAGCTCTTCAATTGAGTGGGCACACATGGTGCAATCACCAGCATACTGAAAGTCAGTAATGGGGTTGTTATCTTGTATTTGGAATGCAGCCAGTTGATGTTAAAGAGATTCGCATCCATGCAATACTGGATGCTGACTGTGGATAGAAGTCTATCAACAATAAGGTGTGGAGTAGCTGGGACATAGATGGAAAAGAGTATTGGTACAATCAGACATCCTTGCTTCCCTCCAGTTCTAAGGGATTTGTTTCCTAGCCATTGCTTGGGATGATTGCTATCATTGTCATGATAATGGTAACAAATTTTGGTGAGCATACAGATCTCATCAAGATCTTCCATAGGGTTTCACTGCTTGTTTGAATCAGGGCTTAGGTTAATAAAGGCCATATAGAGATCTTGGTGTTGCTTGTGGTGCTTCTCCTGCAGTTGTGTAGCAACAAAGAACATATCTGTAGTACTTTTGAGTGGTCTGAAACCACACTGGGACTCCGGTAAAATCTCCTCAGCAAAGCAAGTGAGTCTGTTGAGGAGAATGTGGGCAAGGATGTTCCCAACTGTGGGCAGGAGTGCAATACCATGATCATTGCTTCAGTCTATCTCCTTTCTTGAATATGGAACAGGGTGAATCCTAAATAGATCTGTTCTGTCATGATTATTGCTCCCAAACTGCATGTCTATCTCAGTTCCCAAGTACTAAACAATCATCTGCCATCATCTCTGTGTAGATCCATGACAAGGGGTTTCTGGTACACTAGCACCTGCCCCCATTGCCACTTACTCATTGCTGTAGGAATTGTTATTGAAGGAAACAGTATTACCTGTGTGTCTTCCTTTAATGTGGGGATGCCATTGCACGTCAGCAACCACACACTACTTCATGGGAAGGAAACCTTAATCTGGTGGCAAGGAAAACCTAGATGACCTGAGGTTTCTATTCCTCTGCTACCTTCATCCACCTTTGCAGGCACTGTGAAGTATTCTTTCTTTGTCTGTTCCACCACTGAGGGCTTTTATGTTTATTTTTGGATTGCAGCTTATCTGGAAACATTGCTTTTGACCTTCCCACCATGGATGACCCTACCAGAAGTACAAAACTCCATATGACATTGCTCTTGAGGTCATTGGTAGACCTGTCTGCCTCTAAATAAGCTTAGATTTCCAATCCATTTGAATTCTGCATGAATAAAACATCATAATGTAGTGCTGAGGAACACACATTCATTATTAATAATTTCATGTACTTAAACTCATTAAGTAGGAAAAGTGTTTTGCACAAATATCCAGTTAGTGAATGTCTGGTGTGTTTTGGAAATTGAAGGGAAAATGTCTTTGTATACAAAGAGGCAGAAATCTTCTTAGGCCAGTAATTTCATTGCACAAACTGGCCACTTGCCATGCTAAATAAATTTAGTTGTCTAGAAAAAATTACTTTCTCTTAGAGAGAGGGTGCCAGAAACTTTGACGGTGCAGTCAATACTGGTAACTTTTAACAGCTTACGACTGCATAGCTATTTATCAAAGTTACCCAGGCACACTAGCTTGTAATATGTGCAAAAAGAATAAAGAATTCAGAGCCATCTGGAGACTCACTGACAATTGCTGTTTTCAGAGGACCTGCTCTCCATATCTAAAATCTGGACAACCAGAAAACAATTTTCTGAGTTAGAGACATGCAATTGTCTGTGAATAAAAAAAAAATGATTTGAAACAGTTTTGAAAGTAGGGACGAAGGGATATTGCTCTCAAAACAGGCCAGTTTTAAATTGCATTGATATAGATATTCATTTAAATGTAAAATGCTCATTGACTTTTAGGATATAGGCACATGCCCAAAACTGAACCCTGGAGTTTAAAGTGCTGCCAGTACTACAATCTGTCCTGTAGTGCAGAGAGCAAAACTTGACAGTTCAGTTAAATAGGAGTTCAAAAACTCTTTGTTTGTTTGGGTTTTTTTCTATGTTCATAATCTTAGGAAAGGCCATGATAAGTGCTCCTATTGTGGAAACTCAGGCTGCCGGCCCTCCCCCGGAGCACTGGAATTGGAAGGGACCTCAGGGACAGATCACAGCCACTGGCCAGCTACAGATGTCAATATCAGAACAGTTCTTCCTCCCCCCGCGCCTTCCCCCTCTTACTTCTGAGTTTGTTTCCCCACAAGCCTGCCTCCGAAATATTCCGAAATATTCCAAAATATCCAAAACATTTGGGATGGTTTTGTTTCATTTTGGAGATATTTCGGAGCCTTGTGTTTCATTTCGTATTCGATATTTTGGGCACCAAAATGGGCCAAAACACCTCCAAATGAAATGGCTACCAAAATTTTGCACAGCCCTAGTATTTATCTAGGTAAAAATTCAGGTATTTACTGTGGTTATACATTCTTGTCAACATGAATCTCTGCTCCTTGGTAATTATGGGCTCATTGTATCAATTCTGTGACATAACATTTTTACATGGCATTTTCATCAACGAGAGAGCCTTTGTAGTAATTTTTATGTATTTTATTCTTGTTTGCATTTTAGGTCCACTTTCCAGATACAGAAAGAGCAGAATGGCTCAATAAGGTAAGATGAAACTTAAGGATAAAATACTTACTGTCTTTCTACATTTAATGTTTTGGCTATTAACTGATGCAAAGATCCCTGCCAGGCTTGTAAAATAACTTGGCTTAGCTAAGAGCCAGTCTTTCTTGGATCAATAATCATGACTCTATTTTAAATGGTGACTAAATAATATTCCATCCTTGAAGTGATCCTTTTCAGTCAGCACTAAAATAATTAAGATCAGTCTTGTCGGCAGTTGAAACTGTATATGTAAGCATAGTCATGTTTTGCTGGTTTTCGATGCTCTAGCATCCTGGTTTATAATGTGCAAGTAAAGGGGGGGGGGGTTCCTTTCTTATTGGGAACCCTAAAGTTCTGTGTGAAACATAATAAAATACAGAATAATAAAGCTGACAAGGTTCTTTGGGTGAATCTGATATCTTTTATTAGACCAACTTAAATAGTTGGGGGAAAAAATTTTAATCAAGCTTTCGGGTTCAAAAACCCTTTGTCAGGCTGAGGAAGTTTCAACAGCTGGTGTGTGCTCTTCCTGGATAGAATGAAGCTGGGCTGGTGTGCAGACAAGATAGGCAGTCAGTGAAGTTGTAGATTGAGGAGTCAATGGGTGAGAGACAGGCTGGCTGGGGGGGAGAGAAGGGGGATGAATAATGGAGAAGTACCTGGGAAGTCAGATGTCAGGCAGGTTATAATGTGTCAGAAATCCAATGTCTACATTTAGTCCATGATTTTTTAGTATCCAGGAGTTTGATGAAGTGGAGTTCATAGGCTCGTCTCTGAGAAGTGTTTTGTAAGTTCCCTTTGAGGATTAGAACTGAGAGATTAGAGAGAGAGTGTACCACTGCTTTGTGCTGCAGTGCACACCATGCACATATGCTTTAGTGAGGGACAGATTGTCCCACTTTGGGCAAACTGCCCTTTCGCCAGCTGCTGGTGTGCTAGAGCAGCTGTGTTCACAAGTGAAATAATAGAGATGCTGCGGCTGGAAGCCAGATCATTTCCCTGGAGGACCGAGACTCTATTTGTACCGGCGCACGCTATTGTAGCAAGTGCCATGCCCCTTTTTTTCTCACCATTTTTTTTTTTGCTACAGGAAATCCCAGTAGCAAATTTTGTCCCCATGGTGCAAACTGCAGAACCGCAAACTGAATGTGCCTGCATGTCTGGATGCGGCTTTGATGTGTGAAGGCACTGATGCCCAATGAAACTACATGGATAGCGTACAACTCTTCAATATCATCTTTTTCTTTCTTCCCAGACAGTAAAACAGATGTGGCCTTTTATCTGCCAATTTATTGAGAAACTTTTCCGAGAAACAATAGAACCAGCTGTGAGAGGAGCAAACCACCACCTTAGTACCTTCAGTTTCACAAAAATTGATATTGGTGACCAGGTCAGTTTCTTTTAACATTTGACCTCTTAAATGTATCTGTTTCTTGCCTCATGTTTTAACATGTTGCTCAGAAATTTGCAGAAGAAATACTTCTTAGTGGCTTTTAATGGTACATATGCTTCTGGGCACTGCCTTTTAATATAAATATTTAACAAGATAAAAATGTATTAAACTAAAGAAGCGTTAACTTTATTTTTTGAGCTGGGGTTGCTGCTATAGAGAGAATGTTTCCAAAAAATGGGGAAGGGCCCATTTTGTATGCATATTAAAATAATTGACTATATTTATTGCTTTCAAGAATAATTTGAAATTAAATCCATGCGTTAAAGATATTTTGTATAAAGAATCTTTGATCTTTTTTTAAATATAGTTTTACCTTTTAGTTTATCATCTATGCTAGTATTGCTACTATTTCAGGGGCAGGCAATTATTTCGGCTGGAGGGACTGCTTAATGAGTTTTGGTGAGGTGTCAACGGCCACAAAGGTAGCTCTACCCCTTGACAGATGCCCTGCCCCTGGTTGCCATTTTGGGACTGGAAGTCCTGCCTCCTAGGCCCTGACCTTTGCCACTGGAAATCCTTCCCCTTGCCCCCAAAAGTATTCCTATTGGGAAGGGATTTGCTATCTTGGACCTGGAAAAACAAATTATATATTAAAATTAAACATTGACAAAAACCTATTTTAATTTTATTTAAAAATATATTTTTGTCCTGATTTCTTGCGCGTGTATGTGGTGTATATATAGAGGTGATTGCATAATAGCTCAAAATGAAGTCTTACTCGTGTATATTGATTTCATAGATTTCATAGACATCAGGGCTGGAAGGGACCTCGGAAGATCATCGAGTCCAGCCCCCCGCCCAAAGGGCAGGAAGTCAGCTGGGGTCATAGGATCCCAGCAAGATAAGCATCCAGTTTCATCTTGAAGGTGTTCAGTGAAGGCGCTTGAACCACCTCCGGTGGCAGGCTGTTCCAGACCTTGGGGGCTCGGACAGTAAAGAAGTTCTTCCTTATGTCCAGCCTGAAACGATCTTGAAGTAGTTTGTGACCATTCGACCTCGTCATCCCTTGGGGCGCTCTGGTGAACAAACGTTCCCCCAGATGCTGGTGGTCACCCCTGATAAACTTGTAGGTGGCCATCAGATCACCCCTGAGCCTGCGCTTTTTCAGGCTAAAGAGCCCCAGGGCTCTCAGCCTGTCATCGTAGGGTCTGCTTCCCTGACCTCTGATCATGCGCGTGGCTCTTCTCTGGACTCTCTCAAGCTTCTCCACATCCTTTTTGAATTGTGGAGCCCAAAACTGGACACAGTACTCCAGCTGCGGCCTCACTAAGGCCGAGTACAGGGGGAGAATGACGTCCCGGGATTTGCTTGAGAAGCATCTATGGATGCAAGCCAGCGTTTTGGTCGCTTTACTAGCCGCCGCATCGCATTGCAGGCTCATGTTCATCTTGTGGTCAATGATGACCCCCAAGTCTCTTTCTTCCATAGTGCTAGCCAACATAGCACTGCCGAGCCTATAAGGATGCTGCGGGTTTTTTTTCCCCAAGGTGGAGAACCTTGCATTTATCGGCGTTGAACACCATCAGATTCTTGTCCGCCCACTTGCTGAGCCTGTCCAGGTCAGCCTGGATAACCTGCCTGTCTTCTGGTGTGGATGCTTTGCCCCAAAGTTTGGTGTCATCGGTGAACTTGGCCAGTCCGCTTCTGACTCCCGTGTCCACATCATTAATGAAGATGTTGAACAGTATGGGTCCAAGGACAGAGCCTTGGGAGACCGCACTGGTCACAGGACACCACGATGAGTGACTTCCATCAATTACTACCCTCTGGGTCCGACCCCGGAGCCAATTTTCCATCCAGTGGATTGTGGAGGACCCAAGGCGACAATTGGCCAGTTTCTCCAAGAGGCGATCATGGGACACCAGATCGAAGGCTTTTTTGAAGTCAAGATATATGACATCAATCTCTTCTCCCTTGTCCAGGTGATAGGTCACCTGGTCGTAGAAGGAAATGAGATTGGTCAAGCAAGACCTACCCGCAACAAACCCGTGCTGGCTATCCCTTAAGATGTTGTCGTCGGCCAGTCCATTAAGGATGGCCTCTTTTATAAACTTTTCTAAGATCTTCCCCGGGATAGAAGTCAGGCTGATGGGCCTATAGTTAGCCGGATCCACTTTCCTCCCTTTCTTGAAGATAGGCACCACATTGGCCTTCTTCCAGTCTTCGGGCACTACACCAGAGCGCCAAGAGTTTTCAAAGATCCGTGCTAGAGGCTGGGCTATGATGCTCGCCAGCTCCTTGAGTACCCTGGGGTGAAGATTGTCAGGGCCGGCTGACTTGAAGGTATCCAGCTTCTCAAGATGTTCCTTCACAAAGTCAGCATTAATGGAGGGCAGGGGATCACCCTCACCCGGACTTCCCGGCCCTGTAGCGGGCATGGGCATCCCCCGTGGGGGGCGTGTGGAGGGGGTAAGGGGGTATGGGTGGGCAGGTATGGGGTTTCTTGGGGCCTGTGGATGTGTGTGTATGTAGGGTGTGGGGGTGGGTGGATGTTTGTAGGGATATGTGGGTATATGCGTGGATGGGTAAGGTGTTGGGGGCCTGTGGGGCATGTGGAGGGGAGGGTGGCTGAGGGTGTGTGTGGGGGCTGTAGGTGAACTTGGGGGTGTGTGGGGTATGTGCATGTAGCAGTGAGTGGGGATCCCCCAGAAGTGTGTGTAGAGGGGTGCATGTGGGGCTAGTGGGCGGTGAGAGTATGGGTGGGTGTCATCTTTGTAGGGTGTGTGATTGTGTGTGGGGGAAGGTGTGGTTGTGGGGTTTGTGGAGGAAGGTTTTTGGGTATGGTGGGATGTGCATGGGAGTCCCCCTACTCACACATGCATGCCCTCCCTGAGCTGGTTAGCACCCACCCCCACCCTGCAACAGCCCAGAGCCCACATGCCCTGCTAGCGTTTGCCACTGCCAGCAGCACGCAGCCCCAGCGCACCCCACACCTGCTCTGGACTCATCCCAGTGGGAGCGGATCAGTGGGAAACCGACCCACACAGCCCTGACCTGGCCTGCCCTGTGCCTGCTCCGCACTGCCCACCCGTGGTACATCCTCCCACCCTGTAGGCATGCAGTGGGGCTGGGGCAGCTGTCCAGTGGAACTGCCTTTCTAAGCAGCCCAGGTGGCGACAGCTGCTTCTGGCTGCCACCACCACTGGCCCCAGCCCCGTGGTACTGTAAGGAGTGACTTAGAAACCTCTACTCAAAGACGAAGAAGAAGAGAATGCTATGTGAAGAATGCCCATCTGCAATGATAAGGAGGAGACAGTCTTAGATAAAGGGGGCTTGAAAACAAAAGAAGAAACAGAGTACTGGGTTAAAGGGCTCATTAAAATACTAAAAATCACACCCCTAGGTGGGGAAAAAGTATGCTAATGAAACACGCATGTATGTAAATGAGATACATGGCTAAAACACAGGTATAGAGACATGCCCAGTAAAGAACTTCTTGCGTCACTCACTTATAACCAATCATTAAACAAGCACGCTTGCGAAGGCTTGAAAACTCCTGTATAAAAGATGCTTAGAAGTAGTAGTAGGTGTGCTTGTTACGTGAATTATTCCGCTTGGACCTTTTATTGCTAGCAATAAACCTTCTTTGTACTTTCACCCCTGGTATCTTCATTGGCCTTTGCATACCGGGCACGATCCCAGACTTGAGCTGGGGCACAACAGTACCGGTGGGGATTTGCGCTGCACAGCCCCGCCCCACGCCTTCTCTGGATTCACCTGCCCAGGCTCAGCAGTGGCGGCGCAGGAAAGAAACTGTTGCTGAGCATGGGGGGAAAAGTGGCCCTTCCCCCCTCAGCACCACCAGGCTGTTCCTGCTACAGCTGCCCAGAGCTTGCGCCATACTGCGCTGCCCTATATTTGCTCTGCACTGTCACCACTGCTATGCTGGGCAGCACAGAGGTGGTGGTGATGGCGGTGTAGACGCAGGGCAACTTGGTGCAGTGCAGGCTCTGGGCGGCTGCAGCAGGATCAGCCCAGCAGTGGCAAGGAGGGGCCACTTTTTCCCCCCTCACCGAGCAAGGTTTTGTCCTGCACTGCTGCTGCTGAGCCTGCGTGGGTGAGACCAGAGCAGGCACAGGGCGTGTTGGTAGGCGCAGGGCGTGTGGGTGTGTGCAGCATAGGTCCCTGCCAGTACCACGGGCATGGGGCCAGTGGTGGCAGCAGCCGGAAGGAGCTGCTGCTGCCTGGGCTGCCTAGAAAGGTAGTCCCGCTGTGGATACACCCCAGCCCCACTGAATGCCCAGGAGACAGCAGGACGCGCCATGGCTGTACTATGCCTGGGCTAGGCAGGACCAAGGGACCTGCTGCAGGCTGGACAAAGACCCACCACGGGCCAAATGCAGCCCATGGCCCATATTTTCCCCACCCCTGTGCTATTGCTTTCTTTTTATAATAGACTTTGGCAGTGTTTAAGGCATTTAATATTAGTGCTGATCATTAATATCATGTCATTTTGGCTAGGTATGGATAGTGTGTTATCTTTATACGACTGTGAATTAAATATGTTACTACTAATTGTCTCGGACGGCCAGAGCCGACTCGAGTTAAGTTAGAAATTGCTCGTACATTAGGGCGGGCTGGTGAATGGAGAGGCAGACACAACTTATCGGTTGCAAAAAACTTTACTCACGCCGCTTGCAATCACGACGCAGGTGGTCCAGTCGTCGGAACAACCACACGGTTTGTTCCGGCGGGCGGGGCCCAAGCCAGTTAATCCGTCCGCAATTCAAAGCCGGCGGGAAAAGGGTACGTCTGGGATTGTGCTCGGTGACGGGAAGAAGGATCGATAGGTGATCAGTCTATCGATCGGCAGCCACAAGTCAGATAACTTCAGAGGCACTCTGCAGCGTGCTCAAAGCTCTTCGACTTGGGCAGAAGTCGCGCGGAATTTTAAACGGCTAGCGAGCCAATCACTAGCCGCCACGTGTGAATAATTTAGCACTGGCCAATAGCGGGGCACAAATTTACATTCGAATAGCGAGAACTCTTTGCACCGTGCATTTCTGTGCTGCAAAGAAGAAATGCATCCTGCAAAGGAAACTGCAAATTGGCGGGAACTCTCTCCTACACGCGGGTTCTCAATTGCAGCAGAATACTCTGCCGTGCAAAGGAGCTCTCATGTGGCCAGGAAATTCCATAGTGCCGAGGCACCAAAATCACTGGGTCGTGACACTAATAACTTATCGTGGTGGCTCAGGTGGATGGTTGCTAATATAATGGAGCTAATGTAAAGTATAACCAAAGAAAAGTTTGTGAAGTATTTGTAAGAAATTGTGCTATAAATGCATTCTGAGTACGTACAGATGGCTCTTGTGATGTTCTTCCACCTTATTTTTCCTTTCTTATGAATTTGTCTTTGTTTGTTTCCATTGAATTTTGTAAACTTATACAATGGCTGCATTTTGCCTGATCTGAACATTAATCATGTTTGTCAACGAAAGGGCCGTGTAGGAAAAACTTAGAGGAGGGTAACAATTTGGAGACAAATCTATATCGTATAGTAACATCCTTCCATTCTATAATTTTATAGAGAACATTCTTGTTTTAATGTAGTAATTGATTTTAAAGACAGGTTCATGATTCACAAATGGTTCACAAATCGACTAGAATGCTTCCTCAGTCCATCAGCTGGGGCTTTCCCTGGCCAAAATGACTTTTTGGTTCATCAAAAGGGCATGCTATGACCAGGGCATGCTGTGTTCCAGCAGTCTCTTTCTGTAGAATACATCATTAGACATTGCTCCAGCCAAATTTAATTTAAAATAGCTCTGAAATTTCTCTGAAGCACAAGAAATGTCAGATGGACCATTTGTAGTCTTGGAAATTGGGGCAAGATGCAGATTAGAGCACCTAGTGCTCCTGTTCAAGCCAGAGTCGGCTGCTCCCAGGTGCAGCATCTACATGTGTACCCAGGAAAGCAGCCGTTTGAGCCAGGGCTGGCAGCAGGCTCAGGGGGTCAGCCCCAGGCTCCGGGTGGCAGTGTTGGGCAGTGGAAGGGCTGACTGGGGCACAAGAGTGCTAAAGTGTTGGGCTGTGCAGCAGGCAGCCCTCACACTTTAGTACCCTCATGCCCCAGCCAGCCCATCACTGTCTACACGTGTGTTTCATTGCACTTAATTACTCTTCCGTAAGATGGTACTGCCACCAACAGTACTGACTTATGGCAGAGTTAGTTAATGTACTGTGCCCTAACACTAGTGCACATGTAGATAGCGAAGCTTTACTGCGGAGCTATTTAGTCAACTCCACAGTGAAGCACACGTGTAGATGCACACAGTATTTACCAGTCTCATTTTTTTTTGTTAAATTGACATGTGCAGATTTGTTTTTTCTTAAATAAAGCTTTTTATAAACATTGCCCAATCAGGACACAATAGAAAGCTATTACAAATGATGGGAATATTTACACTGATTTCGATTGGCTTCAGGTCAGACTTAATGCATGTATTTGCTTATAAGAGCTGCACATCAGCAAAATGTTTTCCTAGAGAGATTATATCAAAATGGATCTTTGTCCTATCTCCTAAAACTGCTTGTTATTCAAGAGTTATAAGAGACCTTTCAAGTTGGAAGATACAGCACATACTTCTTTGTGTAATCAATGCCAGCATATCCTTTCACGATCGCACAAACCCCTGGCATTTACTCAAATTGGCCCAGGGTGTAGTACCTTGAAATCCTGCCTTTCCATCAAAAATATTAATGTATCATACATGATTGCTAGTGATACATATTAATTAATTTTTATTTGAAACTAAAATGGAAATCTTGGTTACTGAGCAAGTTTCAGAATTACAGTTTGCACTGTGACCCACAAGGCAGGGTTGTGAGAACCTTACCTTCACTCATGAAAACAGTCATTGCCATTATAACGTAAATGCCCTATACAGAAAATCACTCCATCCCCACTTGCCTGCGCGTACCCCCTAGGGCCTTCCCAAGTACCCCCAGGGGTACTACAGGATGAATGTCCTGATATATAAAATATGTGGGTAAAGCCTGAAATCTAGTGCTGAATCCTTTTTCCTGGCAAGGTTCCACCGTAATTGTCAAACCATAATAAAGCAGTTTTCCTTTAAAGCTGAGCATGACAGGTTAATTCCTACCCCTTTAGATATTCATACTTAATAAATTACTGTTTTAAATTGCGTTTTTCCAGTAATGCTTTGAATAATGCCAATAGTAAATATTTCAGTGACTTCTGCTGCAAATGTTTAAATGCTGAACTCTTATGTTAAAGATAACATCGCTTGATACGTTTGGGAAGAAGGGCTTTTTAATATAGCAATCCTATTCTTATTGTTTCAGCCAATTAGAATAAATGGTGTAAAAGTGTACACTGAAAATGTGGATAAAAGGCAGATTGTTTTGGATCTTCAGATCAGGTAAATCATTAATATACCAGAGCGTACACATCCTTTATAAAAACATTTTAGAGTGTATAAATTTGTCATTCGATTCTGTGCTCATGTTGTTTGGTTTTGTAATAGAGTTTTAGTTTTAGGAGTCTATTTCTTTAAGCAAATGTAATCACTTTTAATATGCTTGTTGATAGAGAAAGAAGTGCACATTAAGTAGTCTTTTCCTAAACAAGGAAGTTTGCAGGCTTACTTTATGAATACATCATTTTAAAATGATTATTGTGAAGGAGCAGCACTTAATTATTGGAGGTTATACTTTGGGCATAAAGTCTTGCTTAGTCTGGACTAAGACTTTAATATGAAAGTCTTACTCTTTCTATACTACTCCATTCATATAGGTTAGTTTTAAAGTAAAGCAAAAAAAAGTTACTGGAATCATTCATACTAAAGTCTTTAGATTTTTTTACAATGAGCATTTCAGCCTGCTTGCAGGAGGGATCTGAAGTGCCCTTCAGTTCTTTGACTCCCTTCACCAAGCAGAAAGGAATGAGGCAAGATTGAAAAGAACTAACTGAGCCATGTCCCCTTTCCACACATTCACCTCTACGAAGGGGTGGAAGCCAGAAGGGCGGCATGCACCAATAGCCACATTTCAGGTGCAGTGGAGCTTGGCCACCTCTGAGCTCTGCAGTTCTGTGGCTTTAGCCATCCCACATGAAACCCAGGCAACGTGAGGTAGAATTTCTGAGAAGCCTTTCCTCGAATTGCAAAACAAACGTGTTTCTTTTTCTGAGAGACCAGAAGAGGTTTACTTGAGTGAGAAGGGACAGGTAAGTCCAGCCTCTTTGAGAACAAGGAGGCAGCTAGTCACCGACAATATATTTGGAACTCTTCAAGCTGGATTTCCATGCTCTGAAATAGAACGAACTCCTGTGGGAAACGAATAATACAATCAGTGGTTTTCCTCACTCGCCTTTACAGAATGCAGCATGGTGGGTAGTTATACAAATAGACCAAGATATAGATGTATGCTGATTCATTTACGGGTGTGTGCATGTCCCTGTCTGTCACTGTATTCTCCCACCAAGCAGGAAAAGGGACTGAAATTCTTCCTCCTAAGGAAAAGTTCTATCACACAATCAGAGTAAAATATATTTAACAAAAAAGTTATGGGCTTTTTCAGGCAAAAATGGTACTGAGTCGTGTAAAACTACACTAAAGAGTTCTGAAGCCATTCTAGACTAGTCTTATTTTCTATATCCTTCCTAATGCACCCAGAAAGATTAAAATAAAAAGGGACAAGGTTTTTTCTGCATTCCAGATCATCTTTAGATGTGTTCCTTTCACTTGTTCTCAGTCCTGGTGTCTTTGCTGATCCTTTCCCACCCCCTTTTTCCCAGCACCTTACATGATCTCAGTCCTTTTTCTACTGACCTTCTACCTTCCGTTTATTCCTAGCCTCAGTCCCAGTAGCCAGCAAGTGCCAGTTTCCTTTCAGTCAGGAACTTTCATACCTTTCTGTCAGAAGTCTACACTTATGAGTTTTTGATTCCGCCTTCTTCCTCCTCTTGACCCTTTTGCATGTAAATTAAACAGGTTCCTTTTCTGCCCTAGTTTGGCCCAGTAAAATTCCTTCAGAGCAGAAAATTCCAGTTCTCAGTTCATGTGGCCATGCCTAGTATTGTGAACTGTAGTGAGAGGTGAAGTCCTACTCAGCCCTGTGCTGGAACATGCTCTGTGCAGATGGACTCTTTAGGGAATTAAGTTATTAAAGTCTAGTGAGTCAAAACTGAGTATGTGCAACACAAGTTTTCAGTTTTATAACTTAGCCAAATTTGGGTGGATTTCCACAAGAATAACAAAAGACAGCTCTCTGATGCAAAGGCCGCCGTTGCTAAATCTCAATTCCTGGTCAAAAGCATGGGGATTCCATAGTTGCTTAAAAAAATTAATTGCCAGATTTTGTATGTGTGTACGCACGCGCGCGCGTGCGTGCACACACCTTCACAGAAATACTAAGTCATTTTTTATTGAAATGTTCTGAAACAATTAGGCTTGAGGCTGAAACCTGGCTTTTAAAATTATAGCCCAAATTTTGCAAGGATGTGAGAAAGGGAAAGCAGGTTTTTATAATAGAAAGGGTCATGTGGCCTTACTCAGACAGTGTTACTACATCTGTGTATAAAATAATCCAAAGCATCTCAATGTGGAGCAGTCTGGAACCCATACCATGAACTACAAGACCCATTACTAGACGCACTAAAACGAAATGTCTAATAAATCCTTCTATTACTTCTCATATTATGACTTGCTACATTTTTTTGTTTTAGGTGCACTTCTAAAGGTGATACCGCATCTCTTCCATTTTCTTCAAAAAAGCTTGCATTAGTGTTTTAAGATTAGGGATTTATTTCTGTATAGGCTGTGATTACTTTTGAAAAGTACAACTGTTTTATACAGAATGTTTAACTTCAGTATGATAAAAACAAGAATGCTGGAGGCAGCAGTAAAGTGTTGCAGTTTTGGAGTTTAAAAAAAGTAAAATTTAAATGCCACTATATTTTTCTGTCCTTTTTTAGTTTTGTTGGCAATTGTGAAATTGATTTGGTGATCAAGAGGTACTTCTGCAGAGCTGGTGTAAAAAGCATACAGGTAAAGTTCAATCTTTCTTTGTTTTAACTGTTTTACAAGCTATCTCATACTTTGTGATATACTTCAGCTCTTGCTGAAAAACAAAATTTCAGTCTGTTGTTTTCATTGCTTGCAAATTATTTAGTGAGTACCAGGGATCCTGGTTTTCTCTGTTTAAAAAAAATTCCCACATTTTAGATTTTAAAAAGTAACCCAAAATCCATTTTTCCATGATCAAAATGAAATACCACTGAGGTGGCGAGGAGTGGGGGGGAGGGGTGTGTGTGTACATATTAGTGGCATTTCATTTTAAACATGGAAAAAATGTGGATTTTGGGTTACTTTTTTTAACCCGAAAATTGAGGATTTTTTTTTTTTTATCAGAGAGAACCAGGATCCCTGGTGATTACTATTTGTTGAATAATAGCAAAATAATTGAAATAGGAGTTATCCTCTCAAATGTGAAAATAAGTGTTTTTTTGTTTTCATATACAGTATCACCTTTGTCTGAGATACACACATGCACATATATAGCACAGTTTGCCAAATACAGATCCTTACATTCTGTTTCTTTAGTTCAGAAGATAGGTCATTAGGGTAAAAATAATATTCATGTAAGCACCTCAAATGTCCTTCCTACAGGGCACTTCAGTCATGGAAGTTTATGTTCTTGATGTAGAGAATTGTTTGTTTTAAAAGCATTCTTTATCCACTTGTCCTTCCTGTTTAGTCAGAAAATGCTTTACAGCAGGCCACTGCTGCCTGGCTAAGCCTGTGAGGAGGGGAGAGCTGTCCCAGCTGCAGGGCGCTCCCTCTCAGCTATGTGGCGATCAGGACCAGTGCTGCTCTCTGCAGGGTGGGGAGAGTTGTCCCCTGTCTGGGGGCAGCTGCCTCCCAGCTATGTGCAACCAGTCCAGATCTCCACATATAGATGCACCCACTGAGATGGAGATAAAATAATTAGATAATTCACCTAAAAAAATCCACTGTATTCCATAATAGTCTGTGGTTTATAGTAAAATAAATAAATAAGGGAAAATTATTTACATTCCAGTTGCATCCAGGGAACTATGATATTCACAGTGCATAAATCAAAGTATATCAACACTGTGTAATTTAACACTGTTTAGGCTGAATTTTACCACATATAAGAAACTTATAGGCCGGGGGGCCTAGATGGCACTTACTCCTTTAGTTAGTCTTGGATGACATAGACATTGCACTGCCTAAATTTCACCTGTAAGGAAGGACTTTCAAAAACATCAATGCTTATTTACTACTGGATATACTTGATAATTTATTTAACACCATTCATTTTTTTTCCAGATTCATGGCACAATGAGGGTTATTCTGGAACCATTGATTGGGGACATGCCCTTAATTGGAGCACTGTCTATTTTTTTCCTTAGGAAGCCCGTAAGTATGAATCAATATTCTGCTTCTTGAATTTTACATTAACAAGAAGAGTAAGAGAGTGAATAAGTTTGTTTGATTTTTCTAAGGGAAGAGAAAGTAAATCACGATGATACTGAATGAATATTTAGAATGCTTAAATTATGTTATCTTGTCTTAGGATATAGTCAAACTTTCCAAATAATACCCTTGCCAAAGTTATAGTATCGCTTTGGACTGAATATGCAATAGTAAAATTATTCTGGGGTCTTAGAACAAAGACACTCGCATAAAACTATTTCCAGTTTTGTCTGCATTTTTATCTCTTCTTAAAAGTATCTAATTTCTGTGTTCAAATTTAGGTTATTGGTACTGTAATACCTCAGAAATCTAGCCCTTATTTAGGCAGTTATGTCCATTTGAGGCATCTTGGTATTGCATCACAAAAACAACTATGGAAATAGACACTTCTTTTGACTTCAGTGAGCCCAAATCAACTCTTTCTGAATTACAGCATAAAAGGATGTGTAGGTAGCAAGAACCTATATTTACAGAAGCAAGAATGTGTACTTGGGTAGTTCAGGGCTTTCCTATTTCTGGAATCCAGAAATGCCTTACAAAATGAATGTCATAAAAAATGAAATCTTCTGAGGAACTTCAAAATTGTACTCTTGAATTTGGAATGAGGTACAAGCTATGGAAAAAGCTGAGGCTTAAACTTTGAGAATGGGAAGACAAGCAAGTTACAGATAAACCAGGGTGAGCACTTACAATTCATCTGCAACTCTGCAGTTGCTGTCCATGTGCACATTCTTTCCTGCAGTAAAGATAAGATGTCTTACTCCCCTGTTTTGTTAAGGGGTAAGCTCCTACACATTTAGCACAGGAAAAAGAGCATGCACATGGGCAGAAGAGAGCCAGTATGATGGAAATTCACGCCCTAGCTTTCCTCATGGTAACATGATACCGCTGTACTCCTCTATTTTTCCTTCGGAATAATTAATCCAAGGCTTGAGACAGGCTTAGTGGTCTCACCAATTTCTTTGAGCTCTGACCCATCATATGACATCTGTCCTTATTATCACCTGTCACGAAGCCATATTTTTATTATATGAACATCTTACTTCCTTTTCTACTTGTCATCTGATTTGAACAGGTTGTAGATTCAGGTTTTATACCATCAGAAAGCTAGGACCCAAGCCTTGGGTCATACAATTCCTAGATTTCTCAACTACTGATTTTAAATTATGGCTTGTCAATTGACAGATCATGGACTAAGTGCTTCATAGTAATAATTTCCACTCCAAATATAGTATATGGTAGTTATTCACAATGAACCTTGGTTTAGGTATAGCACAAGGGATTCTGGATTAAAGATAGCAAATGTAATTTTCAGTATGTGGAAAATATTATTCCCATCTGTCTGTTGTACATATTTAGTGTTACTTTACAGTACTTCTTGCTGAGTTAACTTTCATTTGGGATCCGAGACACAGCTGCACAACTATCATCGTTAAGAGACTAAGATAAATATGAATTCTTGTGTAAAACCTTCAAAATCTAGCTAGTGGTTTGAGAGTTGTCTTCAAAATTTAGGGAAGGTGCTTTGGGACATGATCTTTCAGTTTCCTTTTAGTCTTCTAGATGTGCCTTGATGATATCAAAGTTGTTTTCATCCTAGATACAATCATGGGGTGCCTATACACAAGCATGGAGGCTACTCCAGTGCTCTGTAATTGCAGCGTGTCAGAGCAGGCTTGATTAATTGTGGTAATTACCGCACTCCAGCCAGCCTCCATGTCTTGTGTATTAGCATCCCCATGCTTCAAAATGGTGTTGGGGCTCTTTAACTAAAGATCATCAAACAAGCTTTAGTTCAAGCACCCCCACTACCGTTTTGAAGCATGGGGATGCTGCTGCACAAGATGCTGTGGCCCTTTAATTAGAGTAGCTCTCAGAGCCACTTTAATTAAAGCACCTCCTCCCACCACCACTAGAATATGTGTAAAAGTGCCCATTAGTCTTAATCTGTCACAAATTACCTAAAACCAATGATTGTCGAAGAACCTGCTTACTAATCTTCAGGTCTGAATGGTATAAAGCTGCCAGAAAATGAAGTGTAAGCATTTCTCAGGATTTTTCCTATTTGTGCTTATACTTTTTGACTGAAAACATTTTTGAGAGACATACTGGAATCTTTTGGGCCTGTTAAACTTTTGCAGGACTTGCATTCTTTTCCGTAAATTGTAACAAGCACTCTAGAACAAAGTCTGACTTATGGTCTCTGAAAAACGTGGCTATATTTATAACTTGTTCTAAAACTGTTGCTTTTAGAACTTCTCCAGTTAATTGTTCCCACTATTTCCTTTACAGCCTGCTCTAAATTGGCATCTTCATTTTTTATATTTTAATGAACACTTACTAGCTTCCAGGGCAAAGTTTTGCAAATTGGCTAATATGTGAATGCTTTCAGTCTAGGAAAAGTCTTGGAGTAACTAATACTAATATATCTGAATCAGGAAAAGATGGTTTGTTTGGGGAGCCTTGCAGCTCATAAAGCTTTGACTTTGTTGTGTAGATTATTCTATCCATTTTGAAGAAACATACATGTCTAGTCTAACCCAAGAAACACATGTAAGATTTGTAAGGCAATATTTTCTTAGATAAATTGGTGAACATTTCTAGGTAAAGGGTGGAGTCATGTCATGCTGCTATATGGTAGTGCTTGATGACTGTGGAATTTAAAATAATAATTTTGTGTTTGGGAGTAGTTTAATTCCTTGTTGTTGGAAACCAAACGAAAAAAAATCTGTATTTTGGTTCTTCTTGGCAAGGTGGTGAATTATGAGGAAAATCCCTAAATGTATCAGACTCTTGAAACTGAGGTAGTGAGAATGATTCATCCTAACTGAATATGGATTGTCCAAAAGAAGCAGACTGCTAATTTGGCAAGTTAGACCACTGCCTATTAAAGTGTATGCTTTCTTACAACAGGATTTCTTACCCATTGAATATTCTTCATTGTTTGTGTGTGTAACTTCTGTAGGAAATCTAAAATCAGGTGTACTACTACAGCAGCAAAGTTCTATAACACAATTCTGTCCACTGCCTCGAAGTTGATGGCAGTGGCCAAAAAAAGCTTTTCTTTAGTATTTTTGTTAGGAGAGAGGAACAGGAGGAATTAGCTGGCAACTAGCAGAGGATTTTGTTCTCATATTTTCCAGTCTGAAGTAACTGGCAACAGTTCCACTTGCTCTGTAGCATCTGTTTGCTAGCCTTGATGACTATATAAGGCAACTTTTGTCTAAATTAATAATTCTGAACATTCTTATCTAGTGAGTGTGCTAGGGCCTTCTATCTTTCTTGAGCAATGTTTGTGTGGTTTTTGTATTGTAAGAGCCCTCTGTCTGGACTTTCTAATAAAACCTTCTAAAGACTAGGTTTTTGGGGAAAGGCTTTTCTACTTATTTTATATATTTACATGTGCAATTTCAAACGAGTGAAAATATTCTGAAGCTGGCTTTTCCTTTTTAAAGTTCAACTATGATTTAATATTAAAAATATAAAACGGAGAATTTTCTAGTAGTCCAGAAATGTGAGTTAAAGCTTGTAAATTTGTGTATGACTAAATATAACTATGTCCTGAACTTGAGATAACTTTATATTACATCTTTCTCTTGAAAGTTAAACTGACTTCCTCTGCTGGCATCTTTTATCTCTGTTAAACTTGGACATAAAATATCACATAATGAACAGGTTATTCTGATTTGATTTTGTTGTTAAAGTATCTACTTCTGGTACTTCTGTGTATTGGTGGCTCTCAAAATTTTCTAGTGACATGTTGCTTAATGTTGAAATCCCTGTCCCAATATCACATCTTTCTGAAGCAACTAGAATTCCAGGTTACAGTTCTAAAAACCTGAAAATGTGTTATAGAAAGGGTTTAAAAAATCACCTTTATTTTTAAGAAAAAAATAGATGGCTTCCGGGAAATTTTATAACTGTTTGTGCTTTCCCTTGTGTTTCGACTAAATCAAGTATTGCCATCTCTGCTTATTTTGTCATTTGTTCTAGTCCGTCTGTTTGCTCTCTCTCCATTTTGGTTATGTACAAATTTGACTATAAAGTAATATAATCACCTGCATCCATGAGGCTTAGTCTCTTAGGCATTTCAGGACTTCTTAAAATTTTTACCCATGATTTGAATATGCTCCAGAAAAGACACTCTGCTCTTATGAAAATTGGAGAGAGAGAGAGAGAGAGAGAGAGATTAAAAGTTTCTGCTTCTGGAAACTCCCCACTAAAGCAAATGAATGACAACAGCAACTAACATTATTCCTTGAAAACCCAGATATTCTCCATACTTATTAAATCAAATTATTATTAAATCAATGATTAATGCTTATTAAATCAATTATTTGGATGGGGGAGTGAAGAGTTCACTGGCCAAGTTCGCAGATGACACCAAGTTATAGGGCAGTGTGGATACGTCAGAAGATAGGTCACACATACAGGCGGACCTGGACAGGCTTGAGAGTTGGGCAGACCAGAACCAGACTAAGTTTAATACTTCCAAGTGTAAGCTGCTCCATCTGGGGGCAAACAACCCTCAACAGACTTGGTGGTGACAGCTTGACTTGCACCATGGCTGAAAGGGACCTGGGGTAGTGATTGACCATCGTATGAATATGAGCCATCAGTGCGAGGCGGTGGTCAGCAAGGCAAACAACACGCTGGCATGCATCAACCGATGCATCTTGTGTAAAACTAAGGAAGTATTATTCCCGCCGTACTCAGCACTGGTGAGACTGCAGTTGGGAGTACTGCATCCAGTTCTGGATGCTGCATTTCAGTAAGGATGTGGAAAAACTTGAGAGGGTCCAGAAAAGAGCCACCCATATGATCAGGGACTTGCAAGGCAAACCATACGAAGAAAGGCTGAGGGACCTGGGCCTCTTTAGCCTGAAGAGAAGGTTGAGAGGGGACTTGATAGCAGCATACCACTATATCAGAGGAGTGCATCA